GCCCCGGGGGGGAGGGGGAATGGGAAAACCAGAAAGGGGGGGGGGGGGGGTGGCAGTCACAGTTTCGAGCAGACTTGCAACAAGCCCAGGCTTATCATTAACAATCAGCACCAGCAGGGAATTGGGTGAACTTGGTCAGAAAGTCTTGCATAACTATAGTGGAGATCCCAGTCGAACAGGCAGCCTCACCCAACAAAGCTACGGACGATGATGATGATGAGTTGGACCCTGTAATCATAGGGTTATTGGATTCCAGATTGCAGATGTCAGTACCTTTAGAAGCCACAGAACAGAATGTTTTTGGAATCATTTCCAATCATTTTTTTGATCACTTTCATTTTTATTAAATGTTTTTAACAAAGAACAGAAATACAGAGTCAGTAAAGCAAGCATAGTTACGTATTCTTAATTGCAGGAGAACACAGTATCAGGGTCTTGCATAACAATACCAAATAGTGCAATAATTATAAAGTATGTAGTCCCTCAGAGACACTCCCACCCAGCACATGACATTATCAATTAATCCCTCAGCGTTAACCCCTTCCACATAAAAAAGGGGGCTAACCCATGAGTTAGAGCCCATTCGATCAACCTGCTTGCTGCGTTGATCTAGAGACAAGTGCTGAGGTAATGCCAACGGCTCTAGGTCTGAAAAGTGCCTTGTTACAGGATGGGGTTTGGAAAGTGCACCCAATGCCTGAAGGTCACTTCCAGGCTTGACACACAAAGTCCAGTCGAAAAGGGTCTGGGAACAGCACTCCAAAGCTGGGCTGCGGAAAGGTTACTCTGGGTAGCTGCAACAGTAAAGATCAGCTCAAGCAGTACTGGAAGTACAGTACATGTAATTTAATTCATGTTCTTTGCAAAGTCCAAGCTTTTTTTTATCTTTCATTTTGGATAGAGTCGGGGAGGATTAAAACCACTGTTAGTATTTTTTCTTTGCTTGTCTTATTAGGGAGATTTTCCTTCACTTCCTGTCTTGTGGACTGGAAATGAGGGGATATTTTTCCAATGTGAATGAAATCACCTCTTAGACACTTGTCACAGAAACAAATGTTCCCACTGGAAGATTTCCCTTTCATTCCTATGCTGGTGGAAACTCAAAATTTAGATTTTACCCTTACTTGTCAACACTAGTGATCAGGACAAATGTAGAGAGCAAATCTCCATAATACACAGACAGCAATAAAAATGTGATGGGTTCTAACCCCCACGACTCTATCCAAAAAAAATAAAAAATAAATACGTTTTGCATTTGTTTAACTTTAACAATTCCGGACAAAGGGGGCATGTAGAAAATATGGACAAGCAGTCAGAGGCAGAATTAAAATGAAACTCCACGAAAAAATCTTCTCTACTAGTTTTGGTTAGAAATTCTGTAAGGTTTTTCTTGCTGTGTCCCATTTTAACTTTCTGTCCTGATGACTGTTTGCTGTCAAGGACACAGTGAATGAGGGAAATCCATAATTTTATAGCTGTCAACCAACAGCTGTAGACTGGAAATCTATTAAAAAGGGATAACCAGTTCTGATGAAAATAATCAACAGTGGAATTTTTCCTCATATCTGGCATAATTTCAGCTCTCATTTCATGCTTTCTCTAAAGAAGAAGAGGAACTAAGCTGAAATCTCCCCAGTGGGAAAACTACAGAAATAAAACCCAAATCACTAAAATTTCATAAAAGCTTTACCTTGGGTACTGCATATGGCACACAGTGCGCTAGCGTACTAAACATAATCCCATTCCTTAGGGTTTACATTTAGTGAACATAGAAATCTTTTACTTCGCAGAGTAATCAGCAACTGAAAATCAGTTGCGGTCCTCTATACATGAAGATGCCCAGTCAGGATCTCAGCAATGCTTAATGCCTAAACATTACAAATGGTGGCGATATTACCCTACAGTACAGGATCTCCGATCTGTTCCCTGTGTCCTTCAATGAACGGGAGAGAAATGACCCTGGCTATAGTGACTGTAGCAGACTGCAATATGTTGGATGAGAAAGTCATAACATTTAGACATTAGAAATGTATGTATATGCAAACACACATCTACCTCTTTGAGAAAAACAGGAGGATTCAGGTTGTTTTGTTTAGATTTTATTTGTGCTGTGTATATATTTTTCCAGGAGGCTGCATACAGCTTCACACAGTGAACCATTCATTTCAGTCCTTAAATGAGCTATCTAGCATATTTATCAAGGTCATACGGAAAAACACACAGACGGGCCAAATTACACTGAGGCCAGTTATTCTTCCAGTATGTTTTTGGAATGTGGGAGGAATCCAGGCACTTGGAGAAAATCCATGCAGTCACAGGGAAAACCTATTATGCAAGATAGCGTCCTTGCTGGGAAGTGAGTGCAAAGTTCTAAAGCTGAAATGTCACCTGTTGACCACTAAGTCACTGTGTTTTAGACTCTTTCCTATACTACTTTATTAAAGTTTTTCTATTATCGGAAATGTTTGGGTGAACCTTTAAGTCCGAGCTAATACTTACGCGTTTATACCTATCCTTGGCATCATGAAATCGATTTCGCTTGAATAGGTAATTGCCGAACCTTCTCTCAGTAGTAGCAATTTCCAAGACCTTATCTAAAGGAAATACTGACTGATGGTGCTGCAAAACAAAAATGTTTAGTGTACTTTAGCTGTTTACAGTAGAGGCGAAACAAAATACCAAAACAAGAAATACGTTTACAGCTTTCTTTTTCTGCGCAAGTCTGACAGTCATGGTAACAAGTCCACTATTCATACATTAGAACCACCATAACCCGACTTACCGGGGACAAAACAAAGAAAGAGTCAGCTTCTGCTGTATCTAGGAAGTCCAACATCTCTATTTCAAACAAGACGGTAGCAGATGCAGGGATAAGTGGAGGGCAACCCAATGCACCATATGCATACGCTGGCGAGTAAAGGAACCTCGATAACTCTCCTCGCTGCATTGTCAGCACACTAACCTCCATACCTATAAGTGTGATATCTGCAAGAAAACGTTAACTGCAATAAATCCAATTTTGCAACTTGTGTGCTAGGATATAGAAATAATACACACACAGACACACACAAAGTCCTCACCTTCTCCAAGTTTCATGAGCCGGGGGTTACGTCGAAACCAGTTTGTGTCAAAGGGCTTATCTGAATGTTCTAAGTAACCTGAGTACTTTGCTGCAGGGGCATAAAAATAAAACCGTAAAGAAATAAATAGAATCTTTTAGAAGGTGGGCCCTCAATTGTCTGGGGGTGAGGGAGCTCACGGCGAGGAGGAGACCAGCGGTGGACATGGCTTTTGCGGCGACTGAGGGAGCTCACGGCTAGGAGGAGACCAGCGGCCGGCATGACTTATGCGGCGGGTGAGGCAGCTCGCGGCGGGTGAGAGAGCTCACGGCTAGGAGACGAGCAGCGTGCGCGGCTTCGGCCTGTTCGGTGGGCGTGGCTTATGCGGCGGCCTGTGCGGTGGACACGTCGGGAGCAGCGTGTGACGCGTGACGTGCGACTCGTCTTCAATCGTCGATTTTAATCGACTTAATCGATTAACTGTTGCAGCTCTAGTTAATTTATTTATAGGAATGTTTTTTTAGGTTTTTTTTAGCAGAGTAGAACTCCAAGATGGGCTAGTAATGATGGCGACAGGATATCGGCACCATTCAGGCTAGTGTTATAGTGCCTGTGACTTTGGCTGAATTGCTCAGAATCTTTTTTTAATTCTTTATGAAAGAATGAATAGTTACTTACAACAGTAGTATAAACAAAAATACAGTAGTCTTAATAAAACAAATACTAAACTGTCAAGTGCAGCAAAGTAGAAGAATAATAAAAGTCATTGACCGAGATACAGTAAATAAATCCATCTGTGCAATTGCCAATTAAATTCCTCAAAATCTTAACACCCCTCCCCTATTTTCCTACCAGCAGCATACATGTACCTTTCCTTCTCTCTCCGCTGTCACACTATTCAGCCAAAATAGAAATACCCAATCCCCCCTTGTGGCAACACTAAGCCAATTAGCGCTGCTGTCAAAGGGGAGTCCATAGCCCTGTGTGAACTAAAATTTTAATTACTTGTTGCTCACACAGGGGTTTGCTTTCCCTACCGGCAACTAAACAGAAGTATATTCATCTGTGAAGATCTGCAACACTTTTAATGGTATATTTAACAGACCAAAAGAGAGCAAGACAAGATCATTGTTAGGGCTGCAGCTAACGATTATTTTCATAATCGATTAGTTGGCCGATTATTAAGTTCGATTAATCGGTTAATCGGATAAAAAAGAAAAAAAAAAGGCTCCTGTGCGGTGGGCGTGGCTTACGCGGCCTGTGCCGTGGGCACGGCGGCCGCAACGGGAGAAGCGTGTGACGCGCGGCTCAGGCTGCATGTGGAGCCCCGAACAGGCAAATCAATCGATAGCCGACGAATCGACGATCGAAAACGTTGCCAACGTTTTCAATCGTCGATTTTAATCGACTAAATCGATTAACTGTTGCAGCTCTAATCATTGTTGGGGTTTACATACACTAAGTCTCGCTATGTAATGGTATCCCACTCGTGATTAAAGTGTAAAATAGAATTATTATACTCACTGCACAAACTATTATTTGAGTGCATTGAGGGACACAGAAAGTCATAATGTCAAATTATACAGCCATTCACAGGAGCATTGGAAACAGCTGTCAAAAAAACAATATGCAGGCCAGCCCCTCAACCCAGCATGCCTGTTTGTAGCAAACAGTACCAAGAGCATTATCATAAATACAGTGAGGTACAACCTGTGTCCCACAACAGACACCAAGAAAAGGATTTACAGTGGGTACAATAATTCCATTTTCTTTCTAGCCGAAAAGGGGTCTACCATGGAGGTGAAGCAATCTCTTTCAAGGAATGTAATCCATTCTGCAACAGTATGACAGATTACTTTCACAGCCATGAAAGGTTAAAGAGTAGCCCCGGTGAGAACCGTGCACATTATTCTAGCCAGCAAATTAGGTCAGCGCTTAATGCCTCAGCCTTAACCCCTTCCACAGTAAAACCGGCAGCAATGACCCAATGTTTCAAAAAATACAGCACTTCCCAGTGCTCAGCCTGATCAGCATACTCACAGAGTGAGTATTTAGAGACAGGACAAGCACAGAGACACTGCCAATGGCTCTGGACCTAGAAAGCGTTCAGCAGCTGGTCTGTTACCAGTCTGGTCTTAAAAGCACCCAACATGGAACTCCATGCCTGGAAAGTTACTTCCAGACTGGCCCTTTAAAAAACAATTCCAGGCAACAAGTGAAAGCATTCAGTGTGCTAATATTACCTAATAATGTTCTAAAAGTCACACAGTCATTGGTACTGTGCTTCTTGAGTCTGTGCAGTGTAACTTTCTATCTGCTTTCTGCATCACTTATTACATAGTTACATAGTATTTGAGGTTGAATAAAGACATTAGTCCATCAAGTCCAACCTAAAATTACCACTTTCATATTAACTTTAAAGGGTAACACATTTTCCTTATCCTTTTGCACCCAACCTGCTAAGCAGGTGTATCCCACCACCATCGGCTCCTATCCATGCCTACCAGCCCATAGAATTCTTTGTGGGAAAGTTTCTTTAACCTTTAAATTAATTTGATGGCTATGAGAATCTTCTTCATGATAGCCTGTTTTTTTTCCTACAAATCAAGCATTTTGTGCTCACAGGCTAATTAGGTCTGGCAGCAGATTACTACAGCAATAATAAGCGCATCCTTGCTTCTGGAATTACAGGTGGTTCCAGACAGCTGAGGCCGCATGCAACTTCACAGCCAGTGGTTACCTGTGGCTAGAGACAGATCTCTGACCCAGGAACCAGACAAATTGCATCCAGGGGCAGTCATCTGTCCCTAGCCACATGTAACTGTTAAGGTGGCCATACACTTTACAACCATCGCAAGACATTAGTCTTGCGATGGTTGTAAAGTACTCAAAAAAACGTACGATCTGCCCATCTTGGACAGGCAGATCGTACTTGCGATCGTCGCAAGCCCGCCCCCTTGAGGGGCGGGCTTGCGATGACTGCAATGAGGGGCGGGCTTGCAAGCACGGCAAACGGGCAGTGTGCGCGTGCGCACACCGGCCCGTTCGTCAGTTGTCGAACAAGCAGGCCACTCACTCGCCGAGAATCGTACAATTCCTGGCGGGTTTTCCAGCCTGCTTGTTCGATGGAAGACGTGCGACCGTACAGTAGAAACGGTCGCACGCCTTCCATACACTGTACGATTCTCGTACGATCGCGAGATTTCCCGCGATTCTCGTACAGTGCATGGGCACCTTAAGATGTGCAGATACATGTGAATAGAGGCAGACAACTGTGGCTTCTGCCAGCCTCTTATTGCTTTGCATAGTCTCCAGCTGCACCTGTGTCTGTTTACATCAGATTACCCCAAATCCAGCACGATCCGAAACACTGTTCCGTTTGTTTTTTGGACCTGGCCTCAGTCGGAGTTAACTGGGTGTAACAGACACATGTCCATTTGCCCACTGACTTACATTGGGCATCCGATCGGGTCTGCTTGAAAAACTGACAGGCGAGCCCGATCACACTGGCCACGTGAAAGGGGCCTATGGAACAAATCTGATAAATGTTGACTGAAATTTACTGTTAACTTCTTGCGTGAGTTTCCGAACAGTTTACCGTACACATTGAGACCAAACAGCAACTTGTGCTAGAAAATCCTCAGTATATTTGCTACACATACCAATTATTGTTGAATCAATAGGAACGGTCTCCCCACATCCAGCTCTGATGATTTCTTTTAACACGCCTCTGTCTCCTGACACATCCTGCATATTCAGAGCCAACTTTTCAAAAAAAGACTAAAAAAATAAATAAAATACAAAGCATCAATGAGCTTTATTTAAAAAGGTGCACAGAACAACTGTAATCAATCCACAGCAACCAATCACAAATCTATTGTAGGTGGACTAATGACATTTGGAGTACCAGCTTGTTATCAATAAGTTAGGTTCAAAAGCATGACGATCTGAACTGATAATACCATCTTCAAGCGACTGGTCCTGGTGAAGTTACGGAATCTGTAAAAAAACTAACATTTACATTCATTTAAAAAGTTGCCTAGGAAAAGCTTAAGCCCTCGTTCACACCTGAACGTTTTGTAGCGCGTTCTACGCTCGACGAACGCTCTACAAAACGCTCAAACATCTAAATCCTATTGTATTCAATGGGTCTGGTTCACACCTTGGCGTATTTCAGCCCGTCCCTACAAAGCGGCCCACGCCTGAAAAGGTACATGCACTACTTTGGGCCGTTTTTGTTGCGCGTTTCCATTAGGATACAGCCAAGTAGACCTCGGAAACGCGCGTTTGTCGCGCAATTTTTTTTACGCGAATCGCTGTCAAAAAAACGCGCGACAACCGCGCATATGCAATACGCCTAGGTGTGAACCAGGGCAAACTCTCACAGGTGTGGATGCAACATGCAACTGTTCAAAGTTGAAAGTGTTCACCATAAAAATTATTTGCATGCTCAGTGCAGTTGTCAATACTCACTGACACTGCTGCCTGGAGTGCAACTCTGACCCAGCTAGGCCTCATTCACAGCAGTGGAGTGGACAGTAGATATGTCCCATGCTTGACCAACTTATCAGCGGGCCTAAATGATAGTGTGGGGGTTGGGATTGCTACACTTATGAAACAAGTGACTATAAGAAAGTTGCAAAATGCATAGCAATCATAGTCATTAGTCATAGGGCTTTGGATGGTGCCGAGTCTCAGCCACAATTGGTATGTGCTGATTATGCTATCAATTATCCTGCTAATAGCTTTGCCATATTTTTTTACCCACAAGATTACATAAAGAATTCTCATATTGGAGCTGAAGAGTGCTTCACAGAAAACCTGTCAGTATTTGTGACAACAATATTCAGACATAATCACAAACTACATTACAATAATTACCAGTACCATCTCCACTGCAGCCAATCATTGGTCTATTGTAGAGCTAGAATTGATTTAGATGCCTGGGCATCCCTGCTGTGGCCCTGAAGGGAAACCAGAGTGACAAAGTGGCCAGGTGAGCAACAGCAAGATGCAGAGACAGACAGGCATCTGACACACCTGGAAGTGTTGGATGTCGGGCTGCAACTAATCGATTAAAACGATTATAAATCGATAATGAGAATCATTGGCAGCGATTCTCATCGATTAGTTGCCGTTGCTCTGCTCCACTGATCTCCTCCCCGCTGGTGCTGGCTGCAGTGGTCCGTGTCCCTTTCAATTCCTGCTGCTCTTCGTGCCTGTATCGGCAGCAGGGACACAGACCACTGCAGCCGACACCAGCGGGCAGAAGAGACTGCAATCCCCCGCTGCCCCGTTTCTCCGCTGCCTACCGTGTTCGTCCTCCTCTGCCCACCCCGCTCTTTCTCCGCTCCCAATCAGCAGAGGAGGGAGCTGAAGGACAACGTTCTTCTTCAGTTCCCTCATCTGCTGATTGACAGCAGGCAGTGGGCGAGTGCAATAGCCAGCCTGCTATTGAAATTTAAGATAATCAATAACAGGCTGGCTATTGCTCCCAGCCACTGCCTGCTGTGTTGACATTCAGCTGCCTCAGCAACTGAATCCAGTGAATTGGAAAGGTGACACTAGGGGACACCTGTGAATAGGGGTGACCCCTATCTTAAAAAGAACTTGTCACCTCCAATGTGCCATCACATAGGGGGCTTGTTAGCCTCATGTGATAGTAATGAAGTAAAAAAAAAAAATGTAAAAAATAAAATAAAAATTCACCCCACCACAAAATTGAAAGTTCCCTAACCCTGCAAATGCGCGTATACTAACGAAAAACACAAGTCGGGTGCACCTACATAGAAAAACGATGATTGCGCTACACACGTCAGGTATCGCCGCTTATTTTATTATTAATTAAGGATGTTTTGTTCTTTTTAAAAATCCGATCAAAAATAATCGTCTAACTAATCAATTATGAAAACAATCGTTAGCTGCATCCCTAGTTGGATGCTAAAGAGACTTATAGTGTTTCTAGAACTGGAGGCAGGACTGGTTAAGTATTACAAAGTTTCACATTCTTTGCTTGTTTACTTTTTTATTTTTAAACCCCCTCCCGCTGGCTCCTTAAAAGGAGAACTATGGGGTCAGTGCTAGTGTCACAAACTAGTGTTCTCCCGTGACTCAAAGCTCAGTATACCGCAAGCTACAGCTCGCGGTATACTGAGACCGGCGCAGCCGGGACGGATCTTGACATTACTGTCGAGATCTACCCAGCTGGGTGATTGACAGCTGGCTCTCCCTATCTAGAGGCAGAGCCAGCTGTACCCGCCCCCCTCCCTCGTCCGTTCTGCCAGTCAGCGCTGGAGGATCAGAGAGGGGGGAATCCCAGCAGGGAGCCGTGACAGTCACGGCTCTCTGCAGGGACAGGATCGAGAAGTGAGCGAGCGACGGTATGTGTTCACTCACTTCCCGATCTATTGAGCCGACGTGTGACTGTTTAATTGTCACATGTCGGCTCGAACTATGAGGCTGAGTGATTTTCACTCACGTCATAGTTCTCCTTTAAGGAGTTTTTCATACTGGGAGGCGGAGACGGGCTTCCTGATTATAAACCATGACCAAGAGCTGTCTGTGACAACCCAGCAGCGCCGGCAGTATGCATTTATGTTGCAGCTTGGCATTGCAGCACCCTGCCGTGCTGCCACATAATTGTATACAGTCAGCAGCGTGTAGATAGCTGAATGACAGTTTCTTTTTAAAGTTAAACTGTGGCCAGGCTATAGACATTTAGGCCCCATTCACACCATTGCAGTGCACTAACACAGGGTGCTTTAAAGCAACCTTTTTATTTGAATAGGCTGCCTAACGCACCAGACTACAAAAGGGTATGTGCAGCATTTCAGGCAGTGCACCGCACATTAATGCGTTACAGCATGTTGCGCTGCAATGCAGGTCCATTGGAGTGCCATTCAAAATAATTGCCAGAAATAAAAATGTAAAACTCCCGGAGTTTTGTGCATGCCTGCACTGCCGCCAACTTAATAATTACATCAGTAGCAGCAAAGGGGTTACACAAGACACTGTGGAGCAATCCATCTTGAAAGCAGGAAAAACGAAGACTTCCAGTTCGTGTCTCTGCATTCTGCTCACTTCACCCTCCAAGAACACCTCCTCTGTTCCTTCCTTTAGAAATAATAAGAATGGAATTCCGCTAAGGCACTACTGGGAGGGGCAACATAATGTGTGGAGATACTGAAATGAGGGTGAATTACTCCACAGTGCCCATAGCTACAGAAGTCAGTGGGGGCTTGTTTTAAAGGAGAACTATGAGGTGAGTGCTTTTCACTCACCTCATAGTTCTAGCCGACCTGTGACAATGAGACTGTCACAGGTCGGCTCAGTAGATCGGGAGGCGAGCGAACACATACCGGCGTTCGCTCACCTCTCGATCCTGTCACAGCCCTCTGCCGTGACCGGGAAGGGGCTGGATTCCCCCCTCCCCGCTCCGATCCGCCAGCGTTGACTGGCGGATCGGACAGGGGAGGGTACAGCTGGCTCTGCCTCTAGATAGGCAGAGCCAGCTGTCACTCACGCAGCTGGGCGGATTCAGGGATAATTGTCAGGGTCCGCTTCAGCTGTGGCGTCTCAGTATACCGCGAGCTACTGAGCTTAGGGTGACGGGAGGACGCTAGTTTGTGTCCCCCCGTTACCCTAAGGAGAACTATGGGGAAAAGCCTTAACCCCATAGTTCTCCTTTAAAGCTTTTTTACCGATTGTTAAGAATTTGTAAAAACTTTAAAAGGAGAACTATTGGGTCAGTGTTTTTCCCCATAGTTCTCCTTAGGGTAACGGGGGGACACAAACTAGCGTCCTCCCGTCACCCTAAGCTCAGTAGCTCGCGGTATACTGAGACGCCACAGCTGAAGCGGACCCTGACAATTATCCCTGAATCCGCCCAGCTGCGTGAGTGACAGCTGGCTCTGCCTATCTAGAGGCAGAGCCAGCTGTGCCCGCCCCCTCCCCCGTCCGTTCCGCCAGTCAGCGCTGGAGGATCGGACAGGGGAGGGGGGGAATCCCTGCAGGGAGCCGTGTGTCACAGACACAACTCTCTGCAGGGATAGATCGAGATTTGAGTGAGCGACGGTATGTGTTCGCTCACTTCCCGATCTATTGAGCCGACCTGTGACAGTCTCATCGTCACAGGTCGGCTAGAACTATGAGGCTGAGTGATTTTCACTTGCCTCATAGTTCTCCTTTAATGTCCATAGCCTGGCCACAGTTCTAATTTAAGTTCTGTATTCACAACTAAAGCAAATCTGTCACCCCTGTAAACTTTAAAGTGTACCTGTGTCCAAACTATGAACAATAAAGTATTTAAAATATTATCAAACAGATAAAGAACTTCAAATGGAAGTCCTCAATGACCTCTGTAGCTGCAGGCATTTAGGAGTAATTTACCCTCACAGACCACCACAAAGTCCAGTCCAGTTTTAGTGCGTTTCTAACAGCTTAGCTAAAAGTTAGAAAGGGGAGCGAGCTGTATTCTAGAGGCTTTGCTGTGAATACTTTACAGAGGTATTCACAAAAGGGTGAAGAGTTTGGAGAAGGGAGGAGAAGTGAACAATCTAGGACAACATAGCTGAACTGAAAAGTGAGCTGAATTGGAGAATTGTTTCCAAATCAGCTATTTTGGCCGAGCTTGTTCACCCAAAAGGGTGCCGACAGCGACACCCACTGTGCAAGTTTTGCGTAATGTATAGCCAGCTTTAAAGGAGAACTATGGGGTAAGTGTTTTTCCCCATAGTTCTCCAAGGGTCACGGGAGGACATATATTAGCGTCCTCCCGTGACCTAAAGCTCAGTATATCGCGAGCTACAGCTCACATCACAGCTCGCAGTATACTGAGAGCGCCGCCGCCGGGACAGAACCCGACATTACTGTCGAGATCCACCCAGCTGCGTGAGTGACAGCTGGCTCTGCCTATCTAGAGGCAGAGCCAGCTGTACCCGCCCCCTCCCCCGTCTATTCCGTCAGTCAGCGCTGGAGGATCAGGGAGGGGGGGAATCCCTGCAGGGAGCCGTGTGTGGCAGTCACGGCTCTTTGCAGGGACATGATCGAGAAGTAAGCTATCGACGGTCTGTATTCGCTCACTTCCCGATCTATTGAGCCGCCGTGTGAGTTTCATTATCACACGTCGGCTCGAACTGTGAGGTTGAGTGAAAATCACTCACCTCATAGTTCTCCTTTAAGAGTTTCACCTTCCCAGACTTAAGCGCTAAACCCCATTAGCTATTCCAATATGTAATGTGAGGTCCTCGAAGGAGAGTGGAATGAAATTCAGGAAGGCTCCTAAAGCAGACCTTCTGTAAAAGATCTGCTTTAATGAGAGCACCACAGGACCTGGGCACAAAAAGGTACAAAAACAGCTGACAAAAAATACAGCCCTGTGTTGTAAAGTAGTCCCTACTCTAAGCTCCTTCCCGTGGTAGACTACAATATAATGTTTAGTTTACTAATTTGTATTGAGATTGTAACCCATCGCAGGAGTGAGCTTGGAGCGGTGACTACTTTACAACACACACAAGGACCATGGGGAACAAGAGTTGCCACCCTCCAGAAGGAAGGACAGTGTCCGCACCAATTCAGAGATGATTTGAGGATCTACAGCTGAGGGGTGCACAAATAAGCTACATTTTTATTTAGGCGGGGTTCAGATCTGACCAATACAGGAGACCGCGCAATCGAGTGCTAGTGCACACAGCGGTTGCCGCGGTTCTCCAATGGGGTTACATCCGTGTGGCAATCGCTAAAAAAAAGGTACATGTACCTTTTTTTGTGATACACGATGCACAGCTTTTTTTTTTTTGCCCATGATTGTGCTCAATTGCACAGGCAGAATTGTGCCGGGAAACCGCCCAGCACAACTGGGGTGCCATTAGAATATAATGGCACTGCCAGCGCAATCAGCTGTGGTGGGCGGATCCATTACTGCCTGGCAATCCGCACGGTTTTGTGCACGATTGCCACACAGTTACGGATTGCCCAGATGTGAACGAAGCCTAATAGTTAAGGTCCTTGAATGCATTTTTTCACATTTAACTTCTGAGTTTAGTGTCACTTCAAAGTAAATATAAGAAAAGGTGGAATTTCTTACTAAGGCCCCATTCACACCAGGGCGGAAGCATTTCAGCGCGATTTTTAAAAGGGCGCGTTTCTATTGAAATCTATATGGAAACCGTGCTGAAAAAAGTAGCTCAGGGAGCATTTTGGGCGGCATGCGGTACAGATCATGTGGAGCCGCGCGGTTGCATGAACAGTACCCATAGGAATGTATGGGATTGTTCATGTCGGCGTTTCAGCGCAGACAAATGCACAACACCGAACCGCCCTGGTGTGAACGGGTCCTGAAGTGGAAGATTAGACTATTGAAAAGTTTTATTCTTAAATAGAGGACTGCTTTACAGAATCATCATATAGAATGAACAGCACGATAAAGAGAAGTATTTATTGGTGGATAAATCCAACCACATAGAGAGAGACTGGGAACAAAAGGATGGACATAGCACCGTGAAATCCTCTGACAACCCACAGAGAATAATGAACACAGCAGTTATCATGAAGTGCCGCACACCTGCGCCCCGAGTGCTTTACAAGTACGCGGGGGCAGCGTGCGTCCTAGCAGCTGAACGGGATACCCACTACGTGACATCACACAACATTTTATGCAAGTACAGAACATCCTCGGTGTGCGGCCTCACCAACCCATCCGTGTCCCGGCCCCGCGGAGTACAAGGATGGCTGCGGATTTCACTACCACTCCCTTCTTTCTCCATCACTCGCTGTTCGTCGACCAGCTTCCACCACGTGACCTCTGCTAGAATTCCGCTACTCGGGTAAGACCAGTGCTTGCCGCTCTGCTGCTGTCCGCCAATCAGCTACTGCCTTCTGTCTACGGGTGACAAGCGGGGTCATATTACTGTCCATTGTGAACGATGGCGGCATGAGCTACGTCTGGAAGGAGTGTCGTCACATTATATTTGTTACTTTTATCCGCATGCAAAATCCCTGTATTTTATAGTAAACATATCATAATAAATGATCAGTCAATACAGAGAGTTTGGGATTCCCAATTTATTACCTGACAGAATATTGGAGAGCTGATTGGTCTGCTGCAATCATGGATATTTAAAGGGACCCTGTGAATCCATCCTTTAGGGTCCATTAATACCACATGCTCTGGGGCTGCACTAGCCATTGTTTCCAACGCAGCCCCATTTTTGCCTTGTCACGCATGAACACCTTTCACACCACCACGTTACAGTGGTGTGCGCTGACAAAAGGACAACATGCCTTACTTTTTTTCAGTGCAATTGTCACTTGTGACATTGCAATAAAGTTTTTTAAAAAGTGCACAGTGCGATGTGGCAGGGTCAATGCATCGACACTGGGTCAGGCACCGCACACCAGCTGCTGTGCATTTTGCGCAGCGGCTGGTGTGAATGGACCCTTAGGGTCGTCCTTGTCTCATACCTTCCCTCCATTCCGGCACTGCAGACTCCGTAACACTCTTTACCATTCAACTCTTCAGGAAGTGTTGGGTGCCATGTCCCACACTATTTACTGTGACCCCTTCCTCCGACCACTACATCACAGCATGTAGCAGGGCATACAAGCATCCGACACTCCCAAAAGTGTCAAATAGTGTCTGCAGCGCTGGAATGGAGGGAAGGTAGGAGACAAGGTAAGCCGAGAGGTGAATATAATTGCACTTACCTTGCATGGAACCTCAGGTCATTTTTTTTCGAAACTAACAGGTTTTCTTTAACTGTATAATTATTTGCAGTTTCACAATTTACATGTGTAATTAATACTAAAACATTAAATAGTCATGATATTGATGTTGCTGACATTATTATATTATGTCTTTAGCTGGTATGATCATCCTATGGCTTCACTATTTACTTAAAATAATCCTGAAGCCTGTGAAGTCAAATGTCCTGATGTACATGAATGCTTCAAGCCAGGGCCAGGACTAGCTAGAGAACTAGCAATGGCATCTTTCTTCTTTATATCATGACAGATTTACATTAAAGTAGACCTTCACCCTCTCCACCCACTTTACCTCATTGCAGTACACCCCTCTTCTTGCTGAAATACCTTTTTTCTTTAGGACCCATCGGGGCACTTTCTGGATTCTTTCCTAGGTGGGAATTACGTCCCACACGCCCAAAGTCCCCTGGAATACTGATGTCATGCATCCCTGGAGGTCTTGGGGTCCTGTTTGGTGCATGCGCTGTTGCACATCATCAGGGGGTGCTTGTCCCTTCCAGGTTCTTGCAGCCAGCCCCCTGATGGAGCATGCATGTTCAGGTGGTTGCAAGAACCCAGAAAAGATAACTGGCAACCCGATGACATGAAAAGATGGTGGCACTAAACCCACATGCAGCAATGGATTGAGGTAGGACAACGCTGGATTCACTGGTCACCTGAATATATAATTTCAGGATAACCCATCAAATAAAGTATGTGGGGATTTAAAACAAAAACATAGGGAGAACTCAAGCAAAAACATTTATTTGGATAGAGTAGGGAAGTGTTCCTGTCAGGAACTAAATAAATGCTGATTGCACTCTTGTTGAAGAGATTTCCTCTCACTTCTATCAAATAGATTGGAAAAGATCTTTTCCTAGTTGTCTGTTCCAAAGTGCCACCATCCTGGTTCTGTTACCATATACAAGATGTTCGGTTGTAAGTTGTAACCATGCCGGGAAAACTCTTTAGCAACTCGATTTTGGATCCAAGCTCCACATTTAGAGCCTGCGTCACTGGGTTTAGGGCTTGAGTTGATGCCATCAGCTTGACATCAGTTTTACACACTTCTAAGATCATTCAAAGCCCGTTCACACATTCTTCAGCAGTAGAGAAACGCAGTTCTCTGCAAGGGCACACAGAAAACCATGATTTTCTATGTGCCCTGGTCACACTATAATGCAGGTGGAGTCTGCAGTGCGGTGCACTGTGAAAAAATGCAGACATCCTGCATGTGAACTGAATGGCAATGCAGGTCACTGCACTACAGTGCAAAACACTGTGCTGCTGTGCGGGAACTTAAACACTCCAGATAACATTTAAAAAAAGTAAACATTACCTTGCATTGTAAAAACTTGGGACTCTTGGAGCACAAATCCCAGGTGTTTCTGTACAGATGTG